GAAAAGCATCAACCTTAACCATCTGCAGCAGTAATATTAATTATAAAACACAGATGGAAAAAACTTTCTGTAGAATAATTACTTTTACTTGACATCACCTACATACGCGTTGTCAGTAACTCGTTTGTATTAAGCACATTGAGTTTACATATAACTAAAAGGGCTTTATAAATACACTTGTCAATCATACAGTAGTGTGTTTTCAGTGTTTTATTGCTATTTTAGGAATGGTTCAAAAAAATTATTCGACCACTCGTCATTGTCAGCTAATAGTAAATAAGTAGTAGTAGTAAGTAAAATATTTTATAATTCTTCAGCCAGGAAGATGTCCAGTGCAGCAAGCTCCAGAAGGTGATCAGTATATTTAAAAGAAGAAAAAAAGAGGCAGCACAAAAGGTATGTTTAAACAATGGGAAAAGATGGGTGTGTGCGTGTGTTGGGGGTGAATAATGACTTAATGTCTGTATGTGTTATGTATGCCAAACTTTATAGCTTTAGTTATGCACAATATTTCTTTTTAATTATTGTTTTTTGTCTTTTTGAGAGAGCAGTTGAGCAATAAATGTATTAACTTATCATTTTTTCATTACTATTATGTGTGTTGACTACTTAGAACATTTAAATTAATATCTTTTTCTAATATCTGCAGAAACGCTGAAAGTCTTTTTATGTTCAGTTAAATTTAAACACAGCTTTAAACAATGTGTCTGAATTCTCTGCCTCAGGAGTGTCTCTGGCAGTTGTGGAAGACATCTGGACTGAAGGCGCCACCATCCTTTTGTTCCAAACTCGACTACTAAATAGGATGAAAAATGGATGAAGATTCTTGGTTCTCATCTATATCCTCATCTGCCTGTCATTGCCATTTGGGTTTCATCAGCAATAAAACTGGTTGCAGCAGTTTTATTGTTTTCCACCCGCTTATTAGTATTAGAACCACCGGCACAAAAACATGTTAACACTGCAAAGATTATCCACAGCTATAAAAATGTATTCATTCAGCACCATGTCTCTTTATACTCTAAACGCACCTTGATGTCATGTACTGTGTTTTCTTTAAGCTGCTTTCCATTTCAAAATGTAAAAGGCTAAGTAGAATATTTCACTGCTGTCTTCACACAAAGTAATCTCAATGAAACCCTCTGATCATCTGTTTTGTGTTGACTTCATGGTATAAATATACTTGCTTGAGATAGAAACCAAATTCTGCTACAATGGATTGAATTAATGGTTTTTCTTTATTTTCGTGCCTATTTACATTATAGATTCTCACTGAAGACATCAAAACAATGAATGAACACTTGTACAGCAGCTGCCAAACAGTGTTGCAGGAGAACAGACTCAGTCTACTGAGAGGAGTACTTGTGGTTTTAATAAAAATGATGTTCTTGTTTAAAGTCCATTTTGCCAACATTAAGCTTGACATATTTGCATGTTTTGAAGTGTCTTGATCTGCCATCTTTTGGAAAAGATTTGAATGCACAGGATGAATTTACCTGAAATGATTCATCGGCATGTAATGAGGTGAAATAACCAGCAGATGGCACTTCATTATCTATTATGCTAGTGGTACCCAAAGTGGGGGCACGATATGGATTTAAAAAAAAAAAAGAATGCTTGGACACTGCTAGCAGGTTTTTTGACAGGGCTCCCACACAAACGCAAAGCAGAGGTTGAAGCATCGCCAGATATGCTTCCAAGCAAACGTCCTTCCAAGCCAAAGACTAGAAAATACGATCTTGCAGGCTCAATCGTCCAGGTAAGTAAATCTTCAAAAGTTGATTCTGTTAATCTGGAAATCAGGGTTTTCAGTGGGAGAAACGTTTCGTCACTCATCCAAGTGACTTCTTCAGTCTCAGCTGACTGCAGTTTCCCCAATCTTATAAACAGTGCATTTGCATAATGACTGAAACCAGCACCTTTTCACCTAAAAGGGAAAGACCACCCAGGTGCTCACTGTCACTTGGATGATATTTTGATGAGTGACAAAACATCTTCTTGAAAATGCTACTTCAAGAAGAACAGAATCAACTTTTGTGGATTTTCTTACCTGGATGATTGAGCATTCATCAAGAAGGTCAGATACCATTCATGCTGCATGATTTAAAATGAAGGCAACAGGCAGAGGATTACAGGCATAGCGCTAAAGAATGTAGCATCATGGGCAGTGTAGTCTGTGCTGCAGGGAGAATGGACTGCCATACCCGTTATGTGTCTGTGAGCGCGAGGGAAGGAGTAAAGTACGAGTTGTCATCGAGCAGATACGGGAGCTGGAAGCATGTAAATATAATAATAAC